CCAAGAGCTTGTAACACTCCAAAGAGAAAGGAAAAATTGAAATTGCATCATATGACCCCTTTAAAAGGGACAGTGTTTGAACGAGATCGAGAGATCTTCTCGTTCGTGAACGAAATAACCGAACTAGTACATGTCATTCGTGAACAAGTTGAATGAACTGCTACATCTCGTTCGTGAACGAGTTGAATGAACTGGTACATATCTCGTTCGTGAACGAAATAACCGAACTAGTACATGTCATTCGTGAACAAGTTGAATGAACTGCTACATCTCGTTCGTGAACGAGTTGAATGAACTGGTACATATCTCGTTCGTGAACGAAATAACCGAACTAGTACATGTCATTCGTGAACAAGTTGAATGAACTGCTACATCTCGTTCGTGAACGAGTTGAATGAACTGGTACATATCTCGTTCGTGAACGAAATAACCGAACTAGTACATGTCATTCGTGAACAAGTTGAATGAACTGCTACATCTCGTTCGTGAACGAGTTGAATGAACTGGTACATATCTCGTTCGTGAACGAAATTAATGAGAGTGTACTTGGTCAGTCGGCCATTTAGCATGTCAATCTCATCAGCAATCAGCAGAAAGCAGATGCAAAGTGCATTTATAGGTACTGTGCACATACGCTTGTTTATATATTCATATTTAGCATACAGAACATAACTCCACGTTTAATCCCCGATCTATGAATATGTAAATGTCTGACCAAACAATTAAAATGTTAATTATGCAAGAAAACCTTGTGCTTTGGTCATCTGAACAACTTTAGAAGAGCGACTCCATGACTGAAAGCAGCACAACTGTGTCTCTCTTTGTTTATTTAAACAGAAAACTTACTGCAGCACCACCAGTCGGACGGCGGGCGTGCTACATTATACAACAAAACAACTACATTTACCTAACCAAGTCAGTAAAATTGGTGAATTGTTTTTCTTTGACTTTACAATGCTTCAAATGAGAAAGGATATTTAGGATTAACTGACTTGATGAATTGGACTTCATAAAACTACATGCGAGAGAGGACATTTTTAGGATGTACTGATTCAGTAATGAATTAGATTTCACTACAGTGAGAGATGAGCATTTTGGTGAACGTGTTTGTCAGATATTAAAATCAGTCTTGCTCGTGCTTCTCGTTATACTCTTATACTCATAGCTTGTTACTGGAAAATATTACTACATTACTTAAAACAGATTTAATTATACAATCATTGAATTATTGTCATAAAGCATTACAAGAGTGACTTTGGACTTCATAAAACTACATGCGGGAGAGGACATTTTTAGGATGTACTGATTCAGTAATGAATTAGATTTCACTACAGTGAGAGATGAGCATTTTGGTGAACGTGTTTGTCAGATATTAAAATCAGTCTTGCTCGTGCTTCTCGTTATACTCTTATACTCATAGCTTGTTACTGGAAAATATTACTACATTACTTAAAACAGCTGAACTTCTGTCATGTGAGGCTGTTGAAAAATATGTACCTTGATTAATATAATGTCATCATACTTCTAATTTGTTACTTGTCAAGTTTTCTCTTGTTAATGCCACAATGGGATTTTTAATTTTGCATTACGGCATCTGCTCACAGGTAAGCGAGCGTGTTTGGGAGAGCAGCTGGCTCGTCAGGTGATCTTCCTGTTCTTCACCACTCTGCTGCAGCAATTCACCGTCACCAAATGTCCAGGAGAGGAACCCAGTTTGAAGGGAGAGTTCACATATGCTCCTGCTCCAACCGTATATGCGTGTGTCCCCACGTTAGACCAAAAGTCAGTTACAATTCTTTTATGTTAGCATTATTTCCACATTTTGCCAAATACAACATTGTTGCAATGTTGCAAACTTGGTTTTAAAATATAAATGTATCAGTGTATGTAATGATATTGATGTATAAAATGTACATGTATTTATACATGTATTAATGCACTAGGCCTATATGTAAATGATTTACAGATGTGTAAATAATCATATTTGTCATGTAAATAAATGACACTGGTTGAAAATTTGTCACATGAAATATCTCTTTTTTTTAAATAGATAAATATACTTAAATAGAACTGTTTCATTTTAAAAAGGCAAATTCTTAAGCCCCATTCACACCAAGAACGATAACTATAAAGATAACGATATTAGCGTCCACACCAGCGAATTATATCGTCTGTTTATTCTCAAATTCGTTACAGCTTCTGCTCACAGGTAAGCGAGCGTGTTTGGGAGAGCAGCTGGCTCGTCAGGTGATCTTCCTGTTCTTCACCACTCTGCTGCAGCAATTCACCGTCACCAAATGTCCAGGAGAGGAACCCAGTTTGAAGGGAGAGATATGGTTCACAAATGTTCCTTCTCCATACCGTATGTGTGTGTCCTCACGTTAGAACAATACAAAGTCAGTAAGATTAAATATAAAGTATGCTTTCTGATATGTGTTTCTGGATGATTATCATTTCCACCTTTTTCAAAACGCAATATTGTTGCAATGTTGTAAACATGAGTTTAATTAATTAATATAAATGTATCAGTACATGTATGAATGATTTTGATGTACAAAATATACATGTATTGATACCTGTATTAATGCTCTGTGTAAATGATTTACAGATATGTAAAAAATCATATTTGTCATGTAAATAAATTACACTAGTTGAAAATTTGTCACATGAAATATCTCTTTTTTTTTTTTAAATAGATAAATAGAACTGTTTCATTTTAAAAAGGCAAATTCTTAGAGTTACTTTAACTACAACAGAGTAAAGGAATGTTTCACAGTCACAGATTCATTACTAACAACAGCTGGGGT